TTATCCTACCATTCAATAACGGTTAATTATTGCGCAATTAATTATTACGCGATAACGTTGATCATCATTCGATACATTAACAATTCATTTAATATCACGGATTCTTATGCGCGATATTGCAACAACAAACGTGTACAAAAAAGTATTCTGTAAGAATTTTTCGCGTTATCGGACATCCAACGAGCTGTCAGTAATTAATCCGTCAAGCGGAATAACGATAACGAAAAACACAACGCGAATATGAAATTCATCGAACAGCGCTCGTACGGAATAATATTCGTGCTTAATTAGCCCACATTTACGTGGTTGTTATTTAGCATTTCAACGAGATGCAGTTACATGTATCGCGCGTGTAACTCTGCAACAACGAGATGTGCCTGGAAAGCACCGAAATCGGGGAAATAAAAAACCCACTAACCCCGAAATAATGTAGAATAACGATCATGGCATCTGATACAATAATCGTGCCATATTTACACAAATAATGATAGGCTTTTCAAAATTTAACTCTGATTGATTAAAACCATATCGTTTAGCTTTTTTTTTTATTTATACAAAGACTCCGCCTAAATTTTCGTAAGAATAAGATAAAAGTTAGATCGAGATCCATGGTTGGTTTTAGCCAGAAGATTAAGGGAAAGAGCAGACTAATATCGTAAACGATACTTAGAACGATTCTTTATATCGTTGAAATAAGAGGGAGAATTATTTGAAATTTATGAGAACCAACGGAAACATTTATTATGCGATACGATACGTATTAGCATTTATCAGCGAGGTAATGGAGCGGGGACGCGTATTTTTTATATCCCTCGTTTTGCACGTACCACCCGTATCGAAAAATCTCATTTTACATCGCATAAGTAAGGAAATACGTAACTTATTAAAACTTGGAAAACTCGCAATGTTCGTTAGCACGTGAAATCTGATCGCGCTTCGTAATTATGTCCAAGTTATCAATTTTGTTGGCGAATAGATGTCCCCGTCGGAAAGTTTGTTATTAACAATATTCCGTTGCTAAATCGACGTTCCCTTCATGCTCCTCGGACGACGCCATAGTGATCAATTATTTTTTAAATAACTTTGACAGTTGATTATTAAGTGACGTTTATGACTAGAGTAATCGTTGAGATTAAGTAATTAATCACGAATTAATGTATATAATTTGTAGTCGGTACTCACAAGATATATAATTATTTTTTATCTTTTCACTTGACGTCTTTATCGTATTTTTCTTCTTTAAAATGACGAACGTATTATAAAATTTGACAAAGTCATACAATTTAAAAATATTACAAGCAATGCCTCTCTCTCTCTCTATCTTTTACGTCCATTTTCTCAACGTTTATATATAAAATTATTGCATTTTAATATTACAAATAGATTGGAAGAAATAGTTAGATTTACGATCAGACACATATAAAAAGTTATTTTTTGATTTTATCACGCATGTATACAAATTTTCTCAAAATCTAGGAGAGACATGAATTGCAAAAGTTGCGTTGACTTTACATTGACTTGTATTAAACAAGTTGGAAATGGCCTCGAGGTATCGTTATAAATTACTAACAATCCCAAAATAACGGCGAACCATAAAAGACACAAAATACACTCTTCTTTCATTCACTGTGAAGGATTATTGTGCGACGCGAAACGAGATACATGCGCCTGTGACATTAAATTTACCAGTGCTCCATTGTTTGCGAACATTCGGGAACGTGCTTCCCGTTGCGCTTTATTGAAGGATTACTATACGTATATTACGGGCTCGCTGGGTGATGACCAGATGTCTCGTAGGGTTGATAATGCACGGCTTTGAGTTACGGCCGGTTATAAAAACCCGGGTCTACGTAGCCCTGTACGATCGCGCGGGAGGTCGATATGGAAATTCGGTAATATATACCCCGGCGATATTGCACGGCCGCGATAAGAGTTGCAAAACTCTCGGGCACTTTCCTCAGGGCCGCGGACTTCATAGTCGCGGTGAAATCTGATACTTTACGCGACTCGGGATCGCGCTTAACGGAACGCGGTAGTTAGCCACTGGTAAAAAGAGCCCGGTAGCCCCGTCGATTTATCGAGTGTCGAACTTCCCACGCCCGAACATTTCTTTTGATACCGGGCAACGACGAAGTACAAATGCAACTGATACACGGTACTTTGTAATCTTCAAGTTGCATCAAAGATACACCATGTCTCTCTCTTTATTTATTCTACTACAATATACGCCGATATTATAAATCGTAGATTTATTCGCAAATCATTGAAATAAAAATGTTTACGAAACAGCACAAAATTATTTAGATAATACTTTTCTCGATCGTAGTATCCGCTCCACGAATTATCGCGCGTGTACACCGTTCATTGCAATGCACTTATCGCAAAGCCCAACCGCGTAATGAAAAATTATCGCATTGCGGCTCGTCCGCTAAAGTAAGATTTGGTGTTTTGGACCGCAACGCGATATTACATCCGCAAATTAACTCACTTATTAACTATCCTCACCGCAGGCTCGTGTAGGTGTTTATTTATGTGCCACAATTATTCTGTAATTAGCCTTCAGTTATTCTGTAATTAGCGTTAATAGAGTTTAATGAAAGCTGTAGCTATCCGTTGCGAACTCGTTGCTTCCCGATTAGCCCGAAACTCTAGGCGCATCCCCCGGAGATGCAGGCCGCGATGTACGGATGGTGCCCTCGTGGGCAGAACTCGTGGAGATAATGGCGCGTCTTCGCGTGACTGTGTATAACACTATATAGACAACAAGATCGCATGCCCCGCGCACATGCCCATCGCAAGTTATTATTCTCAAACTCGCCGCGATGCGTCTTGTCAAATAATGTCTCCATTTTTCTTCGTTCCACGCTTGTGTGCCATGCCAATTCGTTCTTACACTGAATACTTATATACATTTAAAATATAATTTGAAGATAAACGTTCAAGTTTTTCTCTCTTTATTTATCATCATAATTATTATATCACGATTATTTTATAAATCGTGTATTCCATACAAAAATTGCGCGATAAAACGAGATTTTATAATAATTATCAGCTTTATAAGCTCAATCATATTCTTTCTTCGATATTTTGTCATATATTGTGATGTAATTTAAATTTTCTATCTAAATGTAATTTTAAGTACAGCTGTCACATTTGATGAGAAAACGCAGCTGTGCATTTTATATACGGCAATTTATATACAAAAATAAAATATTCTGCTTGCATATAAAAAAGTAATATCTTTAATTAAAATTGGGACATTTAATTTATACAAAAGGCATGTCATGAGTCAAATTTTGTTAAATTAAATAGCTATTTTTTATTGATGCTTTCTTTTCGTATAAGCTTTTTTCGTAATAAGTGTAATTGGTTTGAGAAAAAATTGCATGTATTATTGATTGCCTAAAAGAAAGAAAAGTAAGAAAAAAATAAATCTTTCTATTTATTGGAAAATATACTTCAAGTATATCTTTTTGTTCATTAAAAATAACTTATTATTCCTGATTATTCAATCTCTGATTATACTTGTTATCACTTAAAAGATATTAACAGTCAGTAAATGATATTTAGCAAAAATAGCAGATGCTTATAAGTTCGAAAAAATTCCGATTAATTTAATTGGCAACTTATCAACAAGCAATACTCGTACTATTTTTTTAACATAGATAAAATAATCAATTTTTTTATATTTAAGAAATCATATAGAATAAAGATTTGATCAAAGATAACAAATGTATAGTTCTTAGAAATTTTACGTACAGTAATCAACTTTGGTTTAATTGATTATTGATTAGATTAATCGGAGTCATTCTCAAAGAAATAGAGATTTTTTTTCACATGGATATAGAAATCAATTTTTTGTTAATTAAGAAATTACATAGAAAGAAAGATATTTGATCGGGTATATACTACCAAATTATAGCTAGAAATTTTGCAATTATCAATTCAGTTCAATTAATCATTGATTAGATTAATCGGAGTCATCCTAAGAGAAATAGAAATATTTTGTAACCTGGATAGAAATCAATTTTTTGTTAATTAAGAAATTACATAGAAATTAAGAAAGATATTGGATTAAGAAACACAAAATTATATATAGCTCGGAATTTTGCAGTAATTAATTCCGATTCAATTAATCATTGATTAAATTAATCGGAGTTATCCTAAGAGAAATAGAAATATTTTTTGACACAGATAGAAATCGATTTAGACAGATTTGATCGAGCGGACGGATACTTGGTTAGAATTTTTACATTTACAGAGTAATCAATTCCGGTTCAATTAATAACTGATTAAATTAATTGGACTCACCCTAATAGAAAATAGCACGAAATAATGTCCACACGAAGAAACTTTTTATTGTAAAAAATACAACCAGTATACCTATAAAAGTAGGAGCAGGCGACACAGGCGTATTTGATGAAAAGAGCGACCAAAACCCAAAACGTGACATACGCTGCCATCTCGTGTTGCACTGTACAAGTTTTTGACAGTTTTCGACTAGTCGATGATTGGTACGAACTTGTCCGTAATTCGAGCGATTCGGCTAGACTGTTTTGCGCTAGTAAAGTATACATCCCTGGTACAAGAAAAGTCTTATAATTTAATAACTATTTTAAAAACAATAAATATGCTTTTAAAATAATATGATTAAGCTAAGAAATCCTATTTCATATGATTAAAAAATAAACATATTTGTTTAAAAAAATTTATAATTAGATCTGCTTTTTCTTCAAAATCCCTTTTTTTTGTGCAAATTGAATTAAGCGAATTTGTATCAAATTTCGTCAGCTCGCAAATTCATAACTTATTTGATCTCACGAAATATTATTCCGTCAATAAAGACTGCTGTGACGACCGTTAGAATCTTGTGTACACATATATGTTTACGTTATTTATTTCCGTTATGTTTTGGAGAGAGCGACCTTTTGCTACAATGCTTTGTGTGATTATTAACACAGTTTCAGTTCTACACAGTTCTACACAGTTCAAGAAGAATATGGCATGAAATTCATGGCATCGTAGAGGTATTAGCTTATTCGTATCATATTTTTCTTTGGAGCAGTACTGCTTAAAGGCCAACATACAAGAAGAAGAAGAAGAAGTATCATATTTTTTGCGGCGTGATGGCATCATTAGAGGCGGTAAGTGATATATTACTATTAATACGTAATAGTCTTAAAGAGCTGATATAAATCTCTGATAACATGAGTTATAAACACTCTGTTTTCACAGAGTTCCATCATGTATGATGTGGAAAAGGAATGGAGCTTAATTAAGAGGGAATTTATAAATATATTAGAAAGAGATTATTTCGGGTATAACCGACACTATCCCATAGAACCTGTCGGTAGCCGTGGCCGTGATAATTCGACTCAACGCTATGCTACCGCGATGGTTGATCACGGGTACATCGAACGATTATATACGGGAATGACGGAAGTCGTAACACAACATCTTGAAAACAATGTGCGAGAAGATGTTTGTCGTTCCTTCGATAATAACTTCCTACAAACTTTAAATATAGCATGGAAAAATCATTTACAGTCAATGGACAAGATCAAAGAATTCATGGTGAACGCGAAGCATCCATGGGATCATAAATTATGGGAGAAGAATGTGTATAATTTTATATTCGTTGTTTTTCGAGATCAGGTAATTTTCATTTTTAATTTGCATTGTTTTATAAAGATTTTAGAAGTCACAAAGTTCTATTGCAATAAAATAGTATTTTTTATTATTGTTGATTTTGCAATGTTAAGTTGCTGTAATTTATTTAAAATGATTGTTAGGTATGTTTAATAGGTATTGACGAGTTTCTTATAAATTTTTTAGATAGTCAGATATGAATGTGTTAGAAACCATTTACGGGAAACATTATTAGGTATGATCACGAGGGAAAGAAGAGGAGAAGAAGTTGCAGATCGTAGCGCTATAGAAAAAGCCTGCCAAATGTTAATGGTACTTGGAATTAAAAATTACGCTAACCGTAATCTTCGAGATCCTGATATTTATCTAGATAGACTTTTTTTTGCTATTACATATGGTTGTGAGGACCTTGAGTATTTTGATTATAAGTCCTATTTAAAACCTTATTTACAACAAAAGAACAATCGCCAAGTTTATGAGGAAGTTTTTGAAAGGCCTTTTTTACTACAAAGTGCTGAGTTTTATAGAGTGAGTGTCCAGTATGAGATACGTACAATATTCTTATACATGCACATATATGTAACTTGCAAAATTTTCTTCAGGAGGAATCTAAAAAATTGCTGATGGAAAATAGTGCATTATTGGAATATATAGAAAAGGTTGAAGCCAGAATCCGCAAAGAATCTGAAAGGGCAAAACATTATTTAATTCAATCAACTGAATCACGGATAGTAAAAGTTGTAGAAGAAGAGTTAATCAAAGTACCCATGAAAACCATTGTTGAGGTGTGTTTATTTACGATCTGGGTAGCGATCATGTAACCCTTTCCTTAGAACGGAAACGTGAAAAGTAAAAAGTTTAATGTAACTATCTCTTTCTATTGGTGTTGAATAGAAAGAGATAAACTTTTCAATTTTCACGTTTCCGTTCTAGGGGAAAAGATACATGATCGATCAATAGACTAAACTTAAATATATGTATATGTATATCATGTTATATAATTATATGTTTAGCACATAATATATATTATGTGTTATATACCTTAACATCTCTTGTTTGACAGAGGGATGTAGCACACATGCTCAAAAATACGCAAATAAATAATCTTTATAAAATGTATAAACTATTTTCGAGAGTATCAGACGGATTGCGCACTGTGTTCGACTGTCTATCTCAGTTCCTCAGAGAGCAGGGCCGTGCGTTAGTGCAAGAAGAGCAAGAATCAACCACAAATGCCGTTCTTTACGTCCAAAGCTTGTTAGAGTTAAAAGATCGCTTTGATTATTTTCTATATTATTCTTTTAATAGAGACAAGAATTATGAAAAGATGATAGCATCGGATTTTGAATACTTCCTTAACTTGAATCCTAAAAGCCCGGAATATCTGTCGCTATTTATCGACGACAAATTAAAGAAAGGCTTTGAAGGAGTTAGTATTATGTGTATAATTGCATTGTTACATATCGTATGATTTTCGATACATGAATATATATATTTGGTTTTAGATGACAGACCTGCAGATTGAAAGGATCCTAGATAAAACTATGGTTTTATTCCGTTTCTTACAAGAAAAGGATGTATTTGAACGGTACTATAAACAACACTTAGCCAAACGATTATTGTCGAATAAGTCTGTTTCAGATGATAGTGAACAGAATATGATATCCAAACTTAAGGTGAGAACTAGAACTAGATATAATGATATTCTAGATCAAAATAGTTTTGTTTATATCTGAAACGGGTATTGCTTACATTTTTATATTAAAAGAAGTTAAAAACATTTTTTGATTATTTTTTTAGACTGAATGTGGATCTCAGTTCACATCAAAGTTAGAATGCATGTTTCAGGATTTAACAGTCAGCAAAACTATTATGGATGAATTTAAGGATCATGTTCTTACGTCTGGCGTAAGTTTCAAAATAATATAATAAAGCATAGATTAGCTAATAAAGAAAATATAATAAAAGGGTTTATTATGACAGAGTATATCTTAAATGCTTCTATAATTTTGATATTAAAATTTTATATAAAGATTAATTTGAATATTTCCATATGTATAAATATAATATAAATTAGTGTATAAGTTACAGAAAAGATTAACACACGTAATATTCTGGTTATGTTTAATTAAAATATTTTATAAAATTTGTATTTATGCGTATACCATAGATATAGATTATTATTTTATGTCTTATCTGTGTATGTTTCATAAAGACAAATCTACATGGTGTGGATCTAAATGTCCGAGTGCTCACAACTGATTGTTGGCCAATGCCAATGCAATCAGCCACTCCATGCAGTATGCCCACTGCTCCGCGTGATGCCTTTGATGCCTTTCGGCGTTTCTACTTAGCTAAACATAGACGTCGAAAATTAACGTTACAGTCACAATTAGGTGAGTTATTATTTTTATGTCTTTATCAATATCTGTTTTTACTTAAACATTTAGTAATATAATGAGTGCAATGATAAAAATTTGTACAGGTTTTGCTGATCTAAACGCTGTATTTTATGGACCACGAAAAGAAGAGAGTAATTGCGGAGGCTTGGATATTCCATCATCTTTGAGTTCTATTGGGAATGATAGCGCAAGCAGCAGCTTAGTAAGCCAGCGAAGCAGCATGTGCGGTACACCACGAAAGCACATAATACAAGTTTCCACTTACCAAATGTGTGTGTTAATGCTGTTCAATAGAAGCGAAAGGTTAACATATGAGGTGAGTTTTGGTATGAGTTTAAGCAGCTAATTACTCATCTCATATAGCTACATGTTACATGAAGAATCAAAAATGTTTATAATTTCTATATATACATATGTATGAATATTGTAGGAAATTCAAGGTGAAACCAATATTCCAGAGAGGGACTTGGTTAGAGCATTGCAATCTCTTGCCATGGGTAAAGCTACACAAAGAATTTTACTTAAAGACCCTCATACCAAAGAAATTGAATCTACGAATTGTTTCTGTGTGAACGACAGTTTTACCAGTAACTTACATAGGTATTATATTTTTATACAATAAATGATATATATATTAACACTTTCGCAGCTGGCGATTGTAGCGCGTGACTATACTGAGAGCTACGTGCAAATTTGTTTCATTTTCGGATCCAAACTATTTTTAATTTCGTTTAAATGCTCATTTTGATGAAATCAATTTGTTGTTAGATAGCTGCAGTAATCATAAATACGAATTATAAAATCATGTGCTTTCCTAAAAATATAAAATAACGTTAAATTATACCAGCAGCAACAAACTACATTTTAAAATAACGTAAAATTACATCAAGGACAATTGGCTACAAATCTTAAAAATGACATAAAATTACGTTAGTGGCTGCGAATATGTTAATAATATATATATATATATATTTATGTGATGTAAATAACCATCTTTTATTGAATATTTGTATCGCTTTTGTTAAGAGTAAAGATCCAGACCGTAGCAGCAAAGGAAGAATCCGAACCTGAGAGAAGAGAGATGCGCAATAAAGTCGATGAAGACCGGAAACACGAGATCGAAGCAGCCATCGTACGAATTATGAAAGCCCAAAATCAAATGGCTGTATGTAACTTGAAATTTCTTATAAATATAAGTTCACTGTACACGGTTAATTCATTGATACCTACATATTTTTCGAACGTAAAAAAAATATTTTTTTATTCTAGTCAAGCTATAATATGTGTAGAATATATAGAGCCATAATAATCAATATATCAATTTATTTTCTCTTTTATTAGCACAATATACTGGTAACAGAAGTAACAGAACAGTTAAGAGGTCAATTTTTGCCTTCACCTGTAATAATTAAGAAATGTATCGAAGGCTTAATCGAACGAGAGTACTTGGCTCGTACAGAGGAAGATCGGTATGTAATGCGTGTTATACATTGACGTTAATATTTATTGAAATACAAACTAATACATTCTACGATTTACAGGAAGGTGTATACATATGTTGCTTAAAATGCTGAATTCAAACATGTAAGTAATTTGTAATAATATATCCTCTTACTACACATTAATGATTCTTCATATTTTATTCACCGAATCATTATTACATCACCATTATTTGGCGTCATTATCGTTATCTTCCTATTATTCTCATTTCTCGGTTGTGAATTATTATTGTCCAGGGGATATTCCATGTCAACAAGAAAATTATATTTCCACAGAGTTTGGATATTCTGTATATATACGTATACAGTTAATATATAATGACTATATATTGACACTTATTTAGCTTTAAATTTACAGCGTATAATGTTCTTTACAGGAATATATGATTGGGAATAAGTTGATCGAAAATGGTAAAATATTGAGTACGGCCGATATTGCAAATACAAAGACAAAAAAAATAGAGATTGGGTCATTATTGAGTGCTGAAAACTGTAAGATGATGTGTTTATATCCATTATAAAATATTTGATTTGAATTAGACACCTTATACACTTATATAATAGTTAACGTGCGTTTCTAATGATACAAAATACAATTAAGTTACCGAAGATGATTCACATTGATAATACCGCAATTAGAAACTTTTCTACACTTGTAAAACTGTGATTGTCTATGATAACAAATACTATATGAATACCCAGATAGCACAGTGACGTCAAATGACGTATTAATTCCGTCATAATGCCGTCTCTAACGTCATTAAGACGGCATTATGACGGAATTAATACGTCATTTGACGTCACTGTGCTATATCTGGGTATATCGTGAATTTAGGAAGAAAATGGTACATTTACATATAGTTTTATTTACGTCGATGTCGTTTATTTTCTTATATAAAAAACATATGAATACACAAGTGTTGATTTTCATTTAAGTCCATTTTTGGATATATATTAGTTAAGATATGCTTTCACACTATATTTTGTGTTTGAACTATATAAATATGATATAAAATTTATGTAGTAATAAACATTATATACACTCTCCAATGTTTTGACGCTTAACAACTTCCACCTAGCTCTTCCACCTAGCTTTTCAATTATTTCATTGCAATTTAATCCACTGACCGTTTTAGTACAACATAGAATATTTATTATAGTATGCCAAAAGTGGGATCTCTATGAATCTGTAAGAGATGCAGAATTTGTTAGCGGGATGATGTAGTTAGTGCGCATAAGATTAAATAAAGACGAAGATCTTAATAAAATGCAGTTTAATTCAAACATGTATTGCACTCTATCACGTTGCAGTGAAGAAAGGCGAATTGATGTCATATATTTTTTTATTTTAATTTGTATTCTCTCTTTATTTATTAAGATGGAGTTTTAATATTTAAATGAAAATTTTATATTTTTCGTACACAAAACTGAATAAAATTAAAATGCTACAACAGCACTTATTATTCCTGAAATATTCACCCGATACATTTATTTTCTATACAAAGTTAACATGCTAAACAAATACAAAATATCCAGTTTATCCTAACTATAAAAAGTAGTTCTTGTAAAGTTTCATCATCGTATATACATTCCTACCGGATCAAGCTGGAATGTAACGACCTTTCGATGATAAATCAAAGTATAATTGGATATATGACTTCAAGTATAAATTGTATACAACATGATACAGTTATTCATCATAATTTACTGTACTCTGATAAGTTCATCCCACTTCTTATAAACATTACAATTTGTGTCGGTATTAACCAATTATACTGTACAGAGTCGTCTCAACTCGAATCTGTGAGATTCCACGGGGATGAACAGACAGGTATACATTGGCTTGAGTTTAAATCAGCTGACGGGCGGCAGGCATCGTGGTGGTGATGGTAAGTAAAGCTAAATCATTCGGAGTTATTCGGTTAGAAGGATGATGATGATTCCCGCCTCTTCTCGGCATGCTTTTTTGTAAACTCTTTCGCATTTTTTAAAAACTTTTTTCTATTCTTCAGAAATTCTTCAGCTAGATCCGCTCTCAAGAGATGCTCGGGCTCAGGATCATTCACTAATGCTATCAAAGCTTGGATCACTGCAAAGGTCTGCAATTGTAAAATGGCATATGTAAAGCAGGGAGCACACACTTCTGCATAACGCATAATGCGTAAGCATAAGAAAACTGATTGGTCTATTTCCTTATTCCTTATTATGCACATGTGTATGGACCAATTAATTTTCTTATGCTTACACATTATGCGTTGTGCAGAAGTGTGTGCTCCCCGCTTTTTTTTAAACTGCACGTCGCTGTACTCCCACCTCCCACCGCCGCGCATGCGCGAAGCCACGCTACCACGCACATGACCACTGTGACATGACTGTCCGAATCGCAGAACTGACTGTCTGAAGAGTGCGGGCTGCTTTCGGGACTAATTTTTTAAACAATTTTTTGGCGTGTTAATCGCAGGTCAGTCAGCCAGGAAGAGCCAGGGGTTCGCAAGCGAAGGGCCTTCGCAACTTTCAGATGGCCACGCTCGAGGATAAGTCTATCTGGGAGGATGGAGAGGTA